CATCCCCCAAATATGCCAATGTGACATTATACAGTCTCAGTTCAAATTATCTCAAACTGCTCTGCCTTTGCAGTCCCCACAGGACTCCATGAATGCTTAGGAACAGTAGTTGGTCTATAAAAATACAAATTATGTCTCATTAGGAAGGGTCCCACATAAAAAGTCCTTGAATGCCCAAGAATGAGTAGCAGCGAGGATGAATTATCATCATCATCATCATCATCATCATCATCATCATCATTATTTGAGGTTCTGGGTAGTGAACTTAAGGCTTCTGCATGCTAGGCAACCCCTCTACAACTGAACAATATCCTCAGACCCATAATGGATTTAAAATATAATTCAAGAATTAAGATTTAGCCGGGCAATGGTGGTGCATGCCTTTAATCTCAGCACTCGGGAGGCAGAGGCAGGTGGATCTCTATGAGTTCAAGGCCAGCCTGGTCTACAGGGTGATTTCCAGGACAAGTCAGGGCTACATAGGGAAACTTTGTCTTGAAAAATAAAACAACAACAACAACAAAAAAAAACAACAAAAAAGAAGAATTAAGATTTATCTGGGGTGGGGAATTTAAAACCGTGCAGAACATAGGCATAACATGCATAAGGTTCTAGATTTGATCCTAATCACCACCACCAAAAAAAAAAAAAATCAAGATGTTTCCGAGGGGCTGAAATGTGGTAGAATGCTTGCCTCGCATGCATGAAACTCTGTGTTTCATCCCCAGTACTGCATGAACCAGGTGTGGTGGCATCTGTCTATAATCACATTATTTGGCACGTGGAGGCAGGAGGTTCAGAAGTTCAAAGTCACTCTCCCCTACATAGAGAGTATGAGGCCAGCCAGGGCAGCATGAGACCATGAGATGGTGCCCCTACCCAAAAAAAAAAGCCTGGTGTGAGGATTAAATACATGGACTCATCATTAGCCTCAAAAGTACAAAGGTTTATATCACCTGTAACTGCAGCATACACTGAACATTCTGATTTTAGCACACCAACCCTGACGCACTTAAAGTTATTTAATTCACATGTCTATTATTTTCCATTGTAAATAAAAAACCATTGCTTTTTGGTAACTTTATACTTACTTTATTTTCCTAATTAGTGTATAAAGCAATGGGTTTCATTGTAGCATTTTCATACAGTTTGGGGGGGTCGGCTAAAAATATTTTATTTGCATTTTTCAATCATGTATATGTAGGGATTTGTGCACAAGTGAGGCCAGAAGAGGGTGTCAGATCTCCTGGAGATGGAGTTAAAGGCAACTGTCTACACACCAGGTGAACTCCAGTCCTCAGAACCATCTCCCCGTTCCTACACTGTTTTTGTTCCCCCCTCCTGCTCCCTTCCTCCCCTCCCTTCCTTAGCTCCCCTTCTGCTTTCATGTCACATAGATGACTCTTTGTCGCCCCTGTCTTCCTAAGCTTGTTTCCCATTTCATGGTCCCCTTTCCTAGGTTCACGACCTCATGTAAAAATTGAAATGTAAGGTCAGAATCTGAGAGAAATGTGGTACCTGTCTGAGTTTAGGTAACTTCACTTAGTATAATGTTTTTGGCCCTACCCAGTTTTCTGAAAATATCACTATTTCATTTTTTCTTTACAGCTGAATAAAATGCCACTGTGTATATACACGACATTTTCTTTATTAACCTAGGGCTTATCTTCTTATTTTGTTCATTTTTTAAGACAGGATCTCTTTTTTTGTTTTTCTTTGCTTGTTTGTTTGTTTGTTCAAGACAGAGTTTCTCTGTGTAGCCCTGGCTATCCTGAAACTCACTTCTTAGACCAGGCTGGTCTCAAACTCAGAGATCCACATGCCTCTACCTCCCAAGTGCTAGGATCAAAGGTGTGTGTTGCTGCTGCCACCACCACCTGGCAAGACTGTCCTTGAACTACTGACCTCTTGTTCTAGCTCCTAAGGGGTAGGATTATAGGTATGCACCACATCTAGCTCCATTAATCTGTCAGTGAACATCTAACCCGGTTCCATATCCTAAGCTATTGTGAATAGAGTAGCAACTAAAAATTCAATTTTTCAGTAATTAAGAATACCAGGCAAGCACTCCACCCGCTGAACTGTATTCTCAACCTTAAAACTAGTTTTAGTATCAGTAGCATTCATTAAAAGGTTTTACAATAAGTATAACTGAGAATCCCCCGTCAAAGCCCTGTGTAGTGCCCTCCCTGTAATCCCAACACTGTGGGGACTGAAGCAGTAGTTATTGCCACCAATTTGAGGCCAGCTTAGGCTACATAGTGAGTTGAAGGACAATTTGGGCTATATAGAAAGAAAAATGAAAGGGAAGGGAATGGGGAAAGGAGAAACAGAAATGGATGACTCCCTCCTTAGGGGGGAGAAGAAGAGTATCAAGTTTTCACTCATATGTGGAACCTAGATTCAAAAATATCTATGTCAAAGACATGAAAACAGAGTGGGGATACTTGGGTGAAAGAAGGTGACCAGTGAGGTGGAAGGGGGACAAGGGAGAGTCATGGAGAACATGGGCAAACTACAATGACATACATATATGGAACGTCAGAATGGAACCTGTTACTTGGTACACAAACTAAAAAATAGAAGTTAAAACATTCAAAATGGGACTGGGAAGAAAGTTTAGTCAGTAAAGTACCTGTCATGCAAGCATGAGGACGTAAACTCAACCCCCAAACCCATGAAGAACAGGTCCAAGATGATGGAATGGGCTGCTAAGTCCAGCCCTGGGGAGGCAGGAAAAGGTGGGTCCTCAGGGCCCCCTGACCAGCCAGCCTAGCCAAAACCATGAGTTCCAGGCCAGAGACTCAGTTTCAAAAAACAAGATGGAAAGTGCCTGAGGAATGAGACCTACACTGGACCTGTGGACTCCACAAGCACACGCCCCACATCTACACAATGTATACACACAAACCAAACCAAACCAAACCAAACCAAACCAAACCAAACCTTTCATCAGAAATGTTGGTGATGGGGAACAGGAACACGAATTCATGCCCAACACGGGTTATACTGCATTGCCCACATGTGTCTCTATCACATCCCTACTGAAATAAAGTGAAAAAATTCTATTTGTTCTCTTTCACATAGCTATTAGGAATGACCTCTAAATGTTTTTTGTAGGCTATATATTTAAAACCTATAATTATTAGAAATTCCAAAATAAACTAGAGTCCACACTGTAACAGAGCAATGCGGGGGTGGGGGGGGGGACGGGGACGGGACTGTCCCCTTAAATTCCTCCAAGTAAAAATCCCAGATAAACTGGACATCCAACCATACAGCCCATTCTCTACTCAAGAAACATCTAAATCACCTATTATTTCAACTCCCCACCAAATAAAAATGTAAACTCAAAACAACATCTCCTTTCTAATGTTTTATTGTCCGAGGTCCCCTTTGCCAGAGTGTGTTGGCTCTGGTGTGTGGATTCTGGGTTCTATCAGATATGGCCTGAGTTTCTCAAGAAAAAGAATGAAAACATAAGTGTTTGTTTAAAAGGTAACTTAGCAGGGCGGCGGTGGCGCACACCTTTATTCCCAGCACTTGGGAAGCAGAGCCAGGTGGATCTCTGTGAGTTCGAGGCCAGCCTGGGCTACCAAGTGAGATCCAGGAAAGGCGCAAAGTTACACAGAGAAACCCTGTCTCGAAAAACCAAAAAAAAAAAAAAAAAAAAAAAAAAAAGGTACTTATTATCACTATCCTATAATGTTTTATTAAGTTGTTCATTTAATAAAAAGCACGATAACAGAAACTAGAAATAATTTTACCCTTCCTTTCCCTTCTATGAATGATGCACCAGAAGGTCCAATAAGATACTCCCCTCTATCCCAACAAAAAGCATGTTTCAAGTGACTAAGGGAACATCTGCAGGCTGGGTGTGTTGACTTGGAGGATCTCTGAAGTCCAGATCAACGTAAACTACATAGCGAGATCCAGCCTCAAAATGAAGAGACAAATAAAACACCCCAAACGCGACTTCATTTGATGTCTTTCCTCTTTCCCCTCCACCTCATAGGAAATACGTTTATCTCCACGATGGGATAATTCCCAAACCCTACAAAGATTTGTGTGGATTTTTTTTGCAATAAAAGATAAAAAGGAAATCAGTTGGCATTATTAACTAAAAAAAAAAAAATGTCGCCAGGAAAATCAGAATGAGATCCTTTTCCTTGCTGCGTATACCTCCGCACCACCTGCAAGCACAAGGAAGGTTAGCGCGAGAACCAGAAGACGGGAGACCTGCTTATCGCGTTCTTCAGAACGTCCTCATGATGTCCCCCTCGGGCGGGCAGACGGGACGAAGATCCGCATCCCCCCCCCACCACCCCCACCCCCCGCTACAGCTCTCAGCTGCAGTCCCGTGGGCTTGGACACTCAATCCCCCCCCCCCGCTGCCACGTAATGAGGGGCCACGGCCAGTCCAGACGCCCCAATAGCGAAGCCACTGGCTCAGCGGTTTCGGGGTGGGGAGGTGGAGGGGGGGGGCTCGTCGTCGCAGCGGCCGCTGCCCCGGTGCGACACGACAGTTTTCCTGACCCCGAGGGCAAAAACCCCCCGCAAAGCTGGACCACCTCAGGCTGTGGCTTCCCGGGCAGTGCGCTTTAGTCAGGATGGAGCGTGCAAGCTCGCTAGTCTGCGAGCCAGCCAAGCCCTCGTCTCCGAACACCTCAGCGGGGGGGGGGGGGGGGGGGGGGGGGGGCGGCGCCCACAGGGTTGGCATCCCAGAAGCCCCCTCGGGCGCCGAGCCCTACCTTAGGGACAACTGTGGGAAAGGACACTTGCTCCTTGCTCTCCACCCCCCCATCCCGAGCTCATCCACTCATCCACGCCAAGCCCGAGGGGACCTCGCCACCTGCCGAGGAGGGACGCGGCCGGAGGCCCCCGGGTCAGGTTGACCTAGGCCTGGGGAAGGGCGTCCAGGCGAGAGCCTCGCCGTCGTCGCCCGCCCCGCCCCCGGGGGGTCCTCAGGCCGGCCTGCCGGGGCGCTCCCAGGGCCTTACCTGCGGGCCGAAGGGTGGACGGCGACTGTGATGATCGCCCGGCACTCGCCTCCGTGGACTTCACGGGCAGCAGCGCTGAGCCCCTGACAACCCGTTCCGAGGGGGCTTCGGCTCCCTCACCGCTGCTGCGCTCCATCGGGAGGTACGGGCGGCACGGGCTGCACGGGCTTGCACGGGCTGCACAGGCGCACTGGCCGTCCCGCCGCGCCGCACCGGCTCCGCGCGTGTCCGCATGCGCACGCGTCCTCCCACCTTGCGCGCTGTCCTCACCCTGCCTGGGCTCGCTGCGCCGGACCCTCGCGCACCCGCATGTGCGTCACGCCTCCTCCCGCGGTCGCGCGTGCGCAAAGGGATTGCACGTGCAATGCGCTCATGGGCTCTCACCCACCGAGCCACTCTCTTGCTGGTGTGAAATGCGCCACTGTTGTCACGCGAAGTGTGTGGGACGTGCACGTGCAGTATTCACTATAATGGTCACACAAAATTGTGTGAGCACAAGTCCTTACTGCTGAGCATATATGGGGCGCGTGCGTGCGCGTGCACACACACACACACACCCCAGACCCAGCACATTTCTTCTGAGAGTTCCTCATGCATCTTGCACCTGCAGTGAGCACACTCAGCTTAAACAAGTTTCCACACACCAGTGCACAAATACACTTAAAGCTTCTCAGACCTTGCACACATACTATCTGCACATACGTGTTCACACTGGATGTCTGCCCCGAAATCAGCCCAGAAGCTCTGTGTGCAGATGCCACAGCTGTAGGATCCATTCTCCTACCACAATCGGGTTTCAGTTCATTTATTTATTTCTTTATTTGCTTGCCATATATTCATCCTTAAAATCACGAGTTTCACCAACCATTTTCATATGTCTATCACATACTTTGGGGGTGGGGCATGATTTTGAGACAGGGCCTTACGTTATATCCCAAGCTGACCTGAAACTATGTAACCTGGACTAGCCTCTAACTCATGGCCATCTTCCTTCGTCAGCCTCAAAAGTCCTGGAATTACAGACATGAGTTTCTACACCCAGCCATATTCTGTACTTTGATATTATCCACCCCCCATTACCCTCTTTTGTCCCCCTGCTCCCTCTTGCCAGATCCTTTTCTCTTCCCCAAAAACCTCCTTTCTATTTCCATATCATATATGTGTGTGCATGTAGATATAATTTTAAAATCTATATTCTGCATATGCTTTATTTGTTTTGTTTTGGACAGTCTTATTCTATGTTGTTTTTTTGTTATTGTTGCTGTTTTCTCTTTGTTTTTGTTTTTTTCCAGACAGGGTTTCTCTGTGTAGCTTTGCGCCTTTCCTGGAACTCACATTGTAGACCAGGCTGACCTCAAACTCACAGAGATCCTTCTGCCTCTGCCTCCCGAGTGCTGGGATTAAATGTGTGCCACCACCGCCCAGTGACAGTCTCATTCTGTAGTCCAGGCTGGTGTAGAACTCACTTGATAGCACTCAATCTCTCACGACAATCAAGACTAGCGCCTCAGCCTCCTGAGTGCTGGAATTAGAAAAAGAAAGAACCATGCTGGGCTTATATTTGGTTTTGTTTGTTTGTTTGTTTGTTTGCATGTTTTAGGTGTGAAAAGGAAAGGATTTCAGGTAACCTAGGCTGGCCTTGAACTTACTATGTAAGGGAGCCCTGATCTTACCGCTTCGGACTCCTGAATTGTAGGATTCAAGTCTTTCACTACTATGCCTATCTACATTTTTCTTTTTGAGTCTGACTTACTTTCTTCAACACAGTAATCTCTATTTTCATACATTTTCCAGCAAATTATATAAATTGTTCTTCTTTATGGCTGAATTAGACTCGTCTGTGTATATATACCACCTTTTCTATATCTATTTATTGATGTATAGCCAGTTCAGTTCTATAAGTTCTTATGAATAGTGTGACACAGTGAACATAGGTATTCAAGTCTCTTTACTGTCTCCTTTGATTCTTTGGGTATATACCTATGTATAGCTGGGTCATATGGTAGTTCTACTTTTAATTTTGGGAGAACCTCATTGCTAACATCCAATGTGGTCTCCTAATTAACATTCCTACTCACCATATGTGTAGGGGGTCTCTTTCCCCAGATCCTCACCATTTGTTGCTTTCTTTCTTTCTTTTTCTTTTTTTTGGTTTTAGTTTTTTGAGACAGGGTTTCTCTGTGTAGTCCTGGCTGTCCTGGAAAACGCTCTGTAGATCAGGCTGGCCTCGAACTCAGAGATCCACCTGCCTCTGCTTTCTAAGTGCTGGGATTAAAGGCATTCTTGGTGATAGTCACTCTGACTGGAGTGAGATGTGAATCTAAATAATTTTGCTTGAGTATCCCCCTCCCTGTGCCCGGAGCCTCATCTAGCCCAGTTGGTGGTGGCCACAGAGTTTACTGTCAAAGATGACCTTGAACTTCTGATCTTTCTGGGCGTGTGAAAGTAGACCCACTTTTTCCTTTACATATTCTGCCAGACGATTAGCTCTTCTTCGTGCGGGCTTTCCCTGATAATTGTTGCCTTTGCTCTATAGAGCTTTGTGTTTTCTTGCCAGCCCGTTTGCCAATTCTTTTGCTAGTTTGTTTTGTTTGACACAGGGTCTTTGTAGGGCTGCCCCAGATTGCACCATGTTTCCCAGGCTGACTTGGGAATCCTCCTGACTTGGCCTTTGACAGTCTGGATTTTCAGTTGTGAGCCACCCACCATGTTTGTTTGCTTTGTGTTAAGTCTTGCTGCTAAATGCCTTGCCTCCTGAGTAGGGGTCAAAGAAGCCTATGGGGTATTATTTACCCAGCACATCCTTTTCTCTAGCCATGCACATTTATTGTGGTTTCAAAAACATAGTGAAGGGGTTGGAGACATAGCTTTGTGGGAGACTGCTTGCCTAGGGTGTGTGATGTGTATAGGCTTTGATTCCTAAGAGAGAAAGCAACAAAACAATCATAGTGGCCAGGCATGGTGGCTTATGACTTAATTCCAGCAGTAAGGATGCAGAGGCAGTGAATTTCTGCGACTTCAAGGCCAGCCTGCCACCACCGCATGGCAAAGACCAGAGATTTTATCCCCAGTATACACGCAAATGCCTGGCAAGTATGGTGGTTCATCTGTAACCACAGTGCTTTGGAGGCAGAAACAGGAAGTCCACAGGGCAACCTGGCTAGCTAAACTAGCTGAACCTTGTCTCAGTAAATAGAGAGCCATCCAGGAAGATGCCTGATGTCAACCTCTCCCACATATTCCCTTACAAATATGCACCCACACGCATGTGAACATGGATACACACACGCATACCATATCCATGCAAAAATTCAAAAGAAAAAGAATGAAGCTTGTGCTGGCTAGTTTTATGTCAACTTGACCCAAGCTGGAGTCACTGGAGAGGAGGGAGCCTCAATTGAGAAAAATACCTCCCTAAGAGCAGGCTGCAGGCAAGCCTGTAGGGCATTTTCCTTTTTCTTTTTTAAGATTTATTTATTTATTATGTATATAGTGTTCTGCCTGCATGTATGCCTTCACACCAGAAGAGAGCACCAGATCTCATTATAGATGGCTGTGAGCCACCATGTGGTTGGTAGGAATTGAACTCAGGACTTCTGGAAGAGCAGTCAGTGCTCTTAAACTCTGAGCCATCTCTCTAGCCCTGGGCATTTTCTTAATTAGTGATTGATGGGGGAGAGTCCAGCCCACTCCGGGTCAGACTACCCCTGGGCTTGTGGTCCTGGGTTCTATAAGTAAGCAAGCTGAACAAGCAAGTAACCATGGCCTCTGCATCAGCTCCTGCCTGCAGGTTCCTGCCCTGTTTGAGTTCCTGCGATGTTTGAGTTCCTGTCCTGACTTCTTTCGATGATGGACTTGATGTACAAATGTAACCCCAATAAACCTTTCATCCCCAAATTGCTTTTGGTCACGGTGTTTCATTATAGCAATAGTAACGCTAACAAAGACAGAGCTGAAGCCAGGCCTGCTGACACAGTTCTGAAATCCTAGCTACTTGGGAAGCAGAACAAGTTCAAGATTGGCCTGCAAAATTTAGAAAGACCTTGTCTTGAAATAAAAACAATATATAAATGAGTTATGGCCTATAACTTACAGTGATCTGCTTGCCTCTGCTTCGAGTTCTAGGATTAAAGGTGTACACCACCCAAGCTCAGTTTCTCACACTGTATAGCAAGATTCTAATAATATTCAGTACTAATCTAGCATGCCAAGGTTCTGAGTTCAAGGCTCAGAATGGCAAAATGCAAAAATAAGGCTGGGGGTGTAGCTCAGTGATAGAGTGCTTGCCTCGGTTATGTGGGATGCCCTGAGTTTTCTCTTCAGTTACACTGAGGTTGGAAGTGGGGAAAGGAAGAGAAGACTGAAGAATGAGCACAAGTTTTCTTTCTGGGTGATGAGAATGTTCTGGAATTCAGGCTGAGGATGCAACTCAGTTGGTAGATGCTTGCCTAGCATCAAAGAAGCTCTGAGTTTGATTTGCCAATACTGCGAAAACCAGATGTAATGGCACACACCTGTAAATACAGCATCTGGGAGGTGGAGGCCAGAAGATCACAAGTTCAAAGTCATCTAATTCTAAATAGTGAGTCCAAGGCCAGCCCGGGATACTTAAGATCCTGACTCAAAAAAAAAAAAAAAAAAAAAAGCATAACAGTACATACACTAAACCCATTGAAATACACACATTAAACATGTGAAGGTTTTTTGTTTGTTTGTTTTGTTTATTTGAGACAGGGTTTCTCTGTGTAGCTTTGGAGCCTGTCCTGGAACTCGCTCTGTAGACCAGGCTGGCCTAGAACTCACAGAGATCCAGCTGCCTCTGCCTCCCGAGTGCTGGGATTAAAGGCGTGTGCCACCACCACCCCGTGAAGTTTGTTTTTAATGAATGCATTTCATGGTTTTCTTGAAGTAGAATCTTAGGTGGCTTAGGTTTGTTTTGAACTCATTACTGTGTAGTCAAAAATTACTTTGAACTTCTGAACCTTCTACCCCAACCTCTGAAGTTCTAAGTTTATAGACATGATGTGTACTACCATCTCTGGTGATACTTTGGTTTTTTGTTTGTTTGTTTGTTTGTTTTTTAAGATCTCACTATGTGTCTCAGCCTAGTCTAAATCTCACCACATAATTCATACTGGCCTGCACTCCTGCCTCAGCCACCAGAGTGCTGGAATTACAAGCATGTACCATCACAAACACCCAGCTTAAACAAGTGAATTTTATAATGTTCAAGTAGTACATCAATTTTTAAAAATGAATGCCAGGTGAACT